TGGGCGGGTAATCAGCTTGTCGCAAGGCCTCTATCTGTACACAAACATCCATGTCCTGGGTGGGATTCGAACCCACGATCCCGGTTTCCAAGCGAGCGAAGACAGTACATGCTTTAGACCGCTCCGCTACCGTGCCGGCCTTGCAATATTAGATGCATAAATAAATTACATATATTTAACGATATGTGGCAAGGGAAAATAACAACTGTTTATGTAGTCAATAAACATCCAGCATGTTACGATCCAGAAAATTCATTATCATATTTAATTCTGAGCTCTTAACTAATTAACGTCGTGGAGCCCATTACTGCTTGAAAAGTTAACAGTTGTTCACATAATCAAGGAATTCTTAGTTTTTTTTGCAACGCAAAGGTACGTTATCGTGTTCACTATTTGAGCCTTATCTAGCTAACTAACTGCCGATCACAGTGGCCGGGCGGTGTAAGGCATGAACCCTCTTCGCCGGTTCAGACACTGGGATAGGACGTTCCAACCCCACTCAAGGTACGGATGTTTGTCTGCGTTTATTCTGTGTTTGTGTAGGTAGCGGCCTTATGATGGGCTGATCACCCGTCCATGGAGTCCTACCGACTGTCCTAGATCAAGAAACTGAAGCGAAACAAAGCGTTTCACGGATGCCCTACGCTAAAAATGTGAACAATAGGAGAGATAACTAATTAACTGACAAATTACATGTAGATGACTCCTTCTTGAGAACCTAATAGTTGCTCAGCTCTTGAACCAATTATTATTATGACTCTACAAGCCTTTTTTTGGGCCTTGGCCGCTTTTTCAGTTTCTTGATCTTAGATACAGTCGGTAGGAAACTGTTTACAGCAAACAAACTCTGCTGTCATGCAATGACACTGAGTGAAGAAAGGAACTGATTGTCACGTAAATCGAAACATCAAAACATTACACGCACACAGTTCTACTCTCACAAATGTTTTCTTGGCTTTAACTACATCCAGGAATTCCAAAGTTGCTCTTGTAACTAAACAAAGAAAAGTTATTTAATACTGAACATGTCCTGAACCTGAAGAGATTTTGCTATCAAGATATCGTACAAAAATAGTATCTCAAACTGTTACATGAAGCTAAATAAAAAAATAGGGACACTTCAGACAGGCTTCAAAAACGAAATGGAAATATTCTCTAAAACGGATAAAATGATTTCGAATAAACTTCAGTACTTTTTGGAGATAACTTCTCTAAATACATTAATGTATGTGACATCTTCAGGAATATAAAGGTATGCCCACTAGGGGCCCAAATGTTTGCTAAACGCGTTCACGTCCATGCTTGTATAATCAGCGGCCAACAATGGTACACCGGACAACAACAGATTTAAAGAGTATTATTTTCTGGAAGATAGCGCTGTGTAGTCCGTTGACAATCAACAGATGTTTCGGTGGAACATGTCGCCTCTGTCTTCAAGGTCGAAGATGGATCTGGCTCTGCTTGCCACCTGCTTTCTCGCTGGTTTCTTTGACCCTGAAGATGGAGTCGACATGTTCCACCGAAATGTCCGCTGACTTTCAGTGGACTAAACAACATTATAACCCAGTAGACAGAACTCTTCATAACTACCGATATGAGAATCTCAAATACTAAAAAATAAATTACCTTTCCTAGGTGAATCTATGTGACAATATATTGCAATGTTTTCCCTTTGATTACTTAAACTATCACGATTTGGGGGTGTGACTAGACACGAGGTATGTACTAGTGAATGGATTAACTGACCATTTATAAACACACTCGGAATTACAAGCAACTGGTCGCGCCATAACTCAAGCGGTTAGTCGCTGACTTCCCACCGCGGAGGCCCTGGTTCGATTCCGGGTCTGGTCAAGTGGGATTTGTGGTGGACAGGTTTTCTCCGAGTACTTCGGTTTCCCCTGCCAATCTTCATTCCACCAAATTCTCCATCATCATAATCATCCGGGGCAGGCTATAATAGGCCAATCAGTGGCCGCCGTACCGAATGGACCAACTTGGACTCCACCCCTAACTAAGCGAATTAAAAAAAAAACTACAATCAATTACAGCCCTATCGCTGATCACCATAATTTTCAAATCACCACAGCACCCGCTAAGCCTTTTCCAGCTTGATCTCTTAACCAGCCGTTCCCTAGCAACGGCTTCTATCATTGGAGGGTTTAAGCTTCACGCGCTCCAAGTTCTTTCCTCACAGCCTCTCGTGCGTAACTCTTGTGAACTATCAACTACACTATAGCGCCATCTCTTCTCAGCCTCCCTTGCAGAGGTCAATTGACTAGTTACCCCAGCTCAGTTCTTTTTGTAATTCATCGACGCGGACCGCGTAGACAACAATCCGTTACCCCCAGCTGCATGCGTAATCGTTGCCGCGGGAGCAGTAACTGTATTGCTGTACAGGCGTGTTTACCGCGCAGTTGCACAGCAACGGCCCCTGTCCAACAGCGGGCCTATACGTCAATATATTGTGACATGTTGACCCCTACCTCCCCCCGCGGTGCGTGGCGGTGGCGTAACCCTCGCGTTCTTACGGTAATAGGCGAGT